TCCCCGCGTGGCCCCTCCCATGATGTCCTGGCCATCTGTTTCTGGTCGTGTGGCGCGGCCGCCTAGTCTTCCCTGCCTCCCCATGCACACGTGGCAGCATGTGGCTACTGGGAGGAGCCCGCAGGGGGAGGAGGAGGGAGGGGACGGGGTGGGGGGGGGTGCATGATGTCAACCCCCGGCCTTGCTTCCCCTGCTCCGCTCCCACCACCGCTCCTCTCCCTCAGCGAGAGCCGTTCACCCCGACCCGCTACATGCCGCCTCCAAGAAGGCACTGGACACCCCGCTCTGGACAAAAGCGAGACTTGCGGGGAGGAGGTGACACGCCCAGGGCACACTCACGGGGGGGAGAATCGTGTCTGTTCGGCGCCAGGCGCTGTCTGAAGAAAACGTGGGCCCGGCCGCCTGGGCCGGCTCCAGAGCCCACACACTGAAACCTGAGCTTCTCTGAAAATGTCCAAGCCTCCAGGGAGTTTCCGGGACCATCGGCAGTAATTTCACGTTTTCTGCCTCATGGTTAGTCCACAGGCCTAGTTTGGGGCTCTAAGAACACCGTCCCGGATGTAGCCTCCAGTGCTCCCAAAGACGTCAGGGGGGCACAGGAGCACTCCTTTTAAGCTGAGGCAGCACAGAGGAGAGTGAGGGGTCTGGAGCAGCCGGCCCGACATATTACCCAGCACCTTCCCCTCCTCCCACCCATTCCAGTCCACCCCCTGCCCCAGGCCTGTCCCCGGTGGGAGCAGCACCGCCTGGCAGGCCCTTTGCCGGAGCGGGACCCGCCTGCCCCTCTTCCCGCCCCTCCACTAGGAAGTCTGGTGCCTCCTTAAAGTCCAGTGGGGGCACAGCCCTCTCCCCCGACGACTGTCACACTTCACTCCATCTCCAGGCCATGCTCCGGGTCCTCCCCCAGACCACGGCGCAGCCCCTAACTGCCTCCAGCCACTACCACCACCACCCGCCCCCTGTAATCCATGCTCCACCAGGGACTGCCTCTGAAGCCGCTCTAACCAGTGACTGCACCGCTCAGATCCCTCCAGCTGCTCCCTAGCACCTCGGAGGTCAAGTCCAGACGCAGCCTGACATGTGAGGCCTTTCCCACCTTGGCCCCGACCTGTCCGGTCTCAAATCCCATCTCCTCCCCACCCCTCCTTCCCAAACATGCCTCTAGCATGTGGTCCAGAACGTAGACTGTTCCCCCTCGGTCACTCATCCCACTGTTTCCTTCCCCTGTAACAGGTGCCTTTCAAACCCTCATTCATCCTCCAAGGCCCCCCCACCCTTTTTTATTTTAATATATTTCATCGATTTTTTACAGAGAGGAAAGGAGAAGGATAGAGAGTTAGAAACATCGATGAGAGAGAATCATCGATCAGCTGCTTCTTGCATACCTCCCACTGGGTATGTGCCTGCAACTAAGGTACATGCCCCTGACCGGAATCAAACCTGGGACATTTCAGTCGGCAGGCCAACGCTCTATCCACTGAGCCAAACCGGTTTCGGCTCCAAGGCCCTTCTTAAAAGTCCCCTCCCACTAAGCAGCTTTCCCTTCAGAATTCCCCTCTCCCCCGTATCCTGTGTGGCAGAGGAGGGGGCTCCCGAGTGGATCTTCTCCCCAGGATTCCAGACACACCCTCCCACACCCATGGGATGGTCCAGCCCACCCGGCACCAGCTCTGCCCGTTTCCACGCAGGTAACTGTCGGGCCACTCTTGCCCCTTCCATACTTTCCGCCTTTGCCCCAGGCCATCCAGCCCAGCCCTGGCAAAGCCCGGTGAGGGGAGGAGCGGAGGGCGCTGGGCAGCGTGTCGGGCCTCTCTGGACCCCAGCGGTGGCCTCGTCTGTGGGAGCGGATTTGGATGGGTGCTCTTTGGCCCCGTGGAAGCCCTGGGGGTGTTTGAGGCTATCTTCATGACTGTCTTTTCAGAACCCCAAATTAGGAGCCTATGGACGAACAACAGGGCGGCAAGATGAGGTCCCCGGACTCCCCCTCTCCTCCCGGCCCTCCTCAGCCTTCCTCCTTGTGGCCTAGCATTCCAGGGGAAATGTCATTGGCGTCACTGAAGGGATGGCGTGGGGCAGGGATGTGGTCGTGTGGGCAGTCCGCCAGCGGCAGGAGTCAGCGGGACTAACCACTCCCAGGGGGCCAGGTCCCCAAGGGCCTGGCAGCGGGTTCGGGGCCTCCAGTTTCCCAGGCTCTCGCCCAGTCCCCTCCAAGCCTTGCCTACTGGGGAGTCTCCAGCTCCAGGGGCTCTGACCACCTATCGGGGCCCTGCCCCCAGGCCAGGAGCTGGGTCCTGTGGGGGAACCCGGCCCAGACAGTCCAGCGGCCGCCTCTGACCGGGGATAGAGGCGGTGCTTGCAGTGGGTCAGGTGACACCCCGTCTCGGAGCCCAGACCTGTGCGGCTCCATCAGACTGCGTGGCCTGGAAATGCCAGGGCCTTTGGCCTTCATGTGCACCGGACGTGTGTCAGCTCCTCTGCTCAGCAAGGTGTTTCCAAAGCTTTGCTGCCTCGGCCATCAGCAAACCACCAGCCGCCTGCAGCCACGAGCAAGGGCCCCAGGACAAGAGCCAGGTGCGGGGTAGGCTGAGGATACACACCAGCCTGGGCCCAGAGCACCCCTGGGATGGCTCCCCTCCTGGGACCACTGCCATCAGTGACGGGGTGCCTCCTCAGTGGCCGGGGGGTGGGGTGTTGGTCTGGAGGGTGGTGGGAAGGGGGCTCCAAGAAACAGACTCCTGTCTGCCCCGAAGGGGCCAGCCGCCGGGCTCTGCTGAGTCCTGGGCAGTTGGGTGGCTCATCCTTTCCAGAATGTTCTCCCGCATGCTGCCCAGAAAGCCGTCCAACACAGAGACAGCCACCCACACAGTGCAGGTGCCCTGCTGCACTCGGCAAGGGGAATGCACGGGGACTATCTTACACACATTGAGAGCAGCCGCTGAGCTCAGAGAGTCAGCCACCATCCTCGTGGCGCGTGTTTTCCTCCGGAGAACACCCTCAGTTCTCTCGTGAACATTAAACACAATACACAAGACCAAACCCCCAGGTGAGGGCCTGACCAGAACTAGACTCCACCGGTGTTCTCCGAGGGAGAGGATGGGCGTGCTCCTCCCTGCAGCCTCTGCGCGTAGTGAGGCACCCAGCACACAGTAGGTGTGCTCAGAGGATGAACTCGGCGCTCACCAGGCACCCTCTCTTCTAGTCCCGAGGGCGCCTCATGAGGTAGATTATCATCATCATCCCCATTTCACAGACGAGGGAACTGAGGCTCAGGGGAGCGGGACTTCCCCGAGGCCACAGGCAGGGTGTCCCGCAGCAGACTCTGAGGCGGTTCAGCCAAGTCCAGAGCAGACGGGCTGCCCGAGGGAGGGAGGGAGGGAGGGCTGGTTTCTTTGCGGGTGGGGAGCCTCAGTCTCTCTGGATCGGGGTCCCCGGAGTCTCCCAAGGGCGCTGAGCAGAAAGAACCAGACTGAACTGCCAAGAAGACACGCAACCTTTATTCACGCTGGACAGCAGGGCAGGTGCAGGGGGCTGGGAGGGGCTGTGCCCAGCCTGCGCACAGTCAGACCCTGCGACCACCCCCAGCCATGCAGCCGCCATGCGGCCCCTTGGCTATAAGTGAGCACCAGAGACCACCCGGGCCCCTCTTTCCAGAGTCTGCGTGAGCACCAAGACCGGAGGCCGCTCCGGAGAGAGGTTGGGCCTCCTGGCCGGGGGAGAGGAAGGCTGGGGGCCACCAGGCTGCCCCTCCCCCTGGGAGCGGAGAAGGGGCGGGAAGCCTGTGTCCCCTATGTGGCCTGGGCCTCTCGGCATCATGGCTCAGAGGAGGGAGGGTCCCCCTGACTGGCCGGAAGGTTACCCGCTTCAGTTCCTCAGACCCGCTGAGGGTCCAAAGCCTGGAGCCTCGGCCCTGGCCTTTCCCAAGGCAGCACCAGGCCAGGGGAGACTCTGGGTCTCCAGCACCTTAACGCTCAGAGAGTGGGGACACCGGGCAAGAGGGGACACGGGGGGTCAGAGAGCACCTGGGGACAGACATTAGGGTCTGCCGGGGCGGGGAGCTGGGGAGAAGCCAGGCCAGGTGCCTTGGGCAGGGTGGGCTGGGCAGGGGCAGGGAGGGTGCTGTGAGGGGGACAGGAGCCCTCACAGGGGACCACACAGCTGTGTGTGGGCTGTGGGGCTGGGGCTGCTTTAAGGACAGGCAATGAGCAGGAATGAGAGGAGGCAGGGAACACCCCACCTCAGGGGCCCTGTCCCACCAGCCTGGGGGACCGTGGGTGAGGAGGGGCCACGGTGTCTGAGTGCCCGGAGCCCAGGCTTATGTGACAAAAGCACCACACTTCGGGTCAGACCTCGGAACCCTCCGCCTCGCACCCGGGCCGGGTGTGTGCCCACCGAGCACAGGTCTGTGCTTGACCCGCCCAGCGTTCCCGGGCCGGCACAGTGAGCTCCCTCCTGAGGTTGGATGAATGACAACATGAGCAGTGACGGTGCAGGTGCAGGCGAGAGTGCGAGAGGGAGGGAGGAGGGGCAGTCAGGGAAGTGAGGGTGTTTAAGGATGCCGTGATGATTCTAGAAGGCTCAGAGGCCTCGGAAAGCTTAGGGAGAAGGTTCTAGAGTCTGGTCACTCCAGTGCGGCCCCACAGACCCGCCATGGGAGTGTCACCCATGAACCGGTCGGACACGCAGCGTCCCGGGCCCGCTCCACGCCTGCCCGGGAGTGGCAATCTGCGTTTGGGCAAGAACCATCCCCGGGGTGACTCGTGTGCAGGTGCAAGTCGGAGACGAGCTGGTCTACCGGGCTGTGAAGACGGTGGAGCATTCAGGTGAGACGGCTTCTCACGAGCAGGGAGCGGCAGAGACAGCCCGGGAGGGTGGGGAGGAAGAGGAGGGCCACCCAGAGTGCCTGCCTTCCCTCCACCCCCCCACCCCGGGCCCGCCTTACAGAGGTGGACGCTGAGGCCCTGGGGGGGCGGGCGCCCCCGGGAGCCGCCCGGCGGGCGGCACTAGTCGTCCTCGGGCTTGACGAGGTGGCCGCTGAAGGTGATGTACACGTCCACGTCGTCGCTGTAGATGGCGTTCTCCCGCTCGCGCTTGAAGAGCCGCGCCCAGACGCGGTCGCCGGGCGCCAGGGCCAGCATCACGCTCTGGCTCTGCATGATGCTGCGGTCGCTGGGCTGCGCGTACAGGATCACGGCCGCCTCCTCGTTGTGCATCACGTGCACGTAGGTCTCCTTGAAGTTCCAGCTGTGCACGTTGAGGCTGAAGAAGTAAAGGCCCCCCAGCGGGGCGGCGAAGTGGCCGGCGGCCAGGTCGAAGTGCCCGTCCGGGTTCACGAAGACGGTGTCGAACAGCAGCGGCTGGAAGCCCTCGCTGCTGTGCAGGGCCGTCCGGCGGCCCACGGAGAAGGCCGAGAAGCGGGTCTGGCACGGGCCGCCCGGGCTGCCCGCCTGCCCCTTGTCGCCCTTGCTGCCCTGGGGGCCTCGCTCTCCCCGGGGACCCTCCCTGCCCAGCCTCCCGGGGGTGCCCAGCGGGCCTCGGTCCCCTTTGTCACCTGTGGGAACAAGGGAGAAGTCAGGGCAGGCCCCCGGGGCCGCCGGGCCGGACCCAAGGGGGCACCCACGCGTGTCTGCCCAGGGAAAGGCCAGAGGAGCCAGCTACTCCTGTGCACCTACTGCGCGCCAGGCATGGCCTCCCCGAATGCCCCTCTAGAGAAGACACGGACCATGGCCACCCACAGAGAGGGTAAGTGACTTGCCCAGGGTCGCCCAGCACAGGAGCAGGAGAGGCAGGCTCTGCCTCCAGTGTGTCTCCACACCCGCCCACCCTCCACCCCCCCACCTTCCCGGGAGAGAGGATCCCGCTGGGGGCTCAGGGAAGGGGGACACTGCATGAAGCCAGCTCCAGCGGGGATGGGCAAGGGCAGGATGCACTTTGCACTTCTGACCCAAAGAAGGAACCAAGGAAAGCACCCCTTGGAGGCGCCAGGCAGCCCTTGGCGGGCTTTACCCTTCCCCTCCCCCCGCCCCCGTGGATCCGGCCACAGCTGGGGTCCTGGTTGTATGTTGAAAAGGGTCACACACACCTCACAGGCGTGTCCGCCAGCCCTCAGCAGTTGCCGCGTGGGAAAGCACGCTGCAAACTCCGCAAACACACACAGCGGTTGGCAAACCGCGGCTCGCCAGCCGCATGTGGCTCTTTGGCCCTGGAGTGTGGCTCGGCGTTAGAACCACGTCTTCAAAATAGACTCACCCAGAAAACCGCCTTCTGCGCCTGGGCCACGAAGTTTCAGGTGCACGGTATGTGCGCACCTGCATGTGGTATTTTGTGGAAGAGCCACACTCCAGGGGCCAAAGAGCTGCGTGTGGCTCGAGAGCTGTGGTTTGCCGACCACTGACCTAGCACTGCTCGGCCCATCTCCACCTGCCCGGGCGGCTGGCAGCAACTCCCCTGACCCCCAGGCAGACATGCCTCTTGCTCCGGGCTGACCTTGAACATGGGAAGCAGGGGGCTACCTGTCTTGAGGGACCTGATCCCAAGTAGTTCCCTCTGCCCAATCCCGGCCCTGCTCCCCATCTCACCCAGGGGGGAAACCCAAGTCCCACCTGGGCCCTGCTTCATCTCCGACTCCAGTTCTTTCCCTGCTGCTGCCCCTTTAAAACCCAGGCCCGCTGCTGCCCGGGGCCTTTGACCCTGCTGCTCCCTTTGCCTGGGATGCTTCTCCTTCCGTGGGAACTGCCCATCCTGTGTGATTGGCAACCTGCCTGCACACCCGCACTCCCGATGTCCCTCACCCGCCCACCCTGCCACCTCCGCGGCATTTGTCACCGTCAAACACTGAATCTCGTTCACGTGGGCCGTATGCGCATTGCTGGCCGCCTCCGCCACCAGAATGGAAGCGCACGGGCGGTGGGTATCCCTGATTTGTTCATGCTCCAGCCCCAGAACTCAGAAGAGTCCTGACACATAGTAGGTGTCTCAATTCATGTGTGGGCGAAAGGGCCGGGAATCGTTTTCTGCCCTGGTTTCTCCTGCTTCCTCCACCTCCCCCCACCCCCCAGGCCCAGGAAGACAGCGCCCCCCCCCTCCCCCCCCCGCCAATGCCCTCCATGTCCGCGACCGGGCCAGTCCGGCCTGAGCCACGGACAGGCACTCACCCTTCAGGATGGTCATGTTAATGTAGGGCCTGACCTCAGGCCACACGTAGGGAAGGGAGGATGGAGAGGCGGAGGACTCATCGGCGGCATAGGCAGGGGCCAGCGGGTCCCCGGAGTCACAGCACCGTCGGCAGCGCCCGGGGGCACCAGAGGCCACAGCGTCCCCAGAGGTGTGCTCCTCGGTGGGGACCCCAGACACCAGGAGAGGGAGCAGAAGTGCCGTCCACAGGAGGTCCAGGGCAGCTATCCCCATGGCGGCCTGGAGCAGGGGAGAGGGTACAGACAGGGTATCTAAATTACCATCCCCACGGTGCCCGTGCCCGCACGAATGCTGCCACCCATAGCAAGTGCGTTCCTGACATAACTCGGGGAAGAACGCCAGTGCATCCATTTAACAGACCGGAACACTGAGGTCCACACAGAGGAGCAAGTTCTTCAAGGTCCCAGAGACTCGTGGCAGGCAGGGCAGGGCAGGGCCTGGAGGTTGAGTCTCCCGGAAGGAGCCCAGTCTCTGAGGGCTCTGCCACCCAAGGTCCCTGAAGGAGGAAGCCCCCCATCCCCCCAGAGAGAGCCACGGCCCAGAGCAGAGGCGGCTCCGGGGGACCTTGGCCGGGGGTGGGCGAGGAAAGTGCCCCAGCAGCCCCTGTGCCAGAACCTCTGAGACTGTCAAATGCTCTTCCACCCTCCCGGCTCCCTCCGGCCTGCTCTCTCACCAATGACAAGTGAGGGGCCCTTGGGACAAACACAAAGGATCCCGCAGGCTTGCTCTGAGGGGAGGGGACTCGTGGCTGAGCCCATGGCCCGAGGTCCTTCTAGCCAGGGAAGTTCATTCATTCTAGCAGACAGGTAGCCACTTCCATCCGAGAACACACAGTGTTCTGCGTGCAGGTGTGTGTGTGTGTGCGTGTGTGTGGTGGGGGGGGGGGTTCCATACTGGGTAGCAGTGAGGAGTCCGCTGCAGCCACTGCTGGCTTGCAGGGACCTTCCTGCAAGGGAGGGGGTGCTCCTGGGGGGACACATTAGAACCAAGAGAGTGTGCACCACAGAGCAGGGACCTTGGCACAGGCTGGTGCCAGCCTCTCTCCTCTGGGCATCAACCACCTGCAGGACCTCACACTGAGTCCTTGCAGGGAAGCCTCAGGCGGGAGTTAAATCATTGGAAAGAGGTGGTGTCAATCATAGTAGACCTGCCAATCAGCTGCCAAGGTGGTAAATTGGAATTAAGGGGCAGGACCAGGAAGCCTGGAAACCTGAAAAGGCTCAGAGAAGGCCAGGGTTGCTCTGGCCTTGGTGAGGGAGGCGGGAGCCAGCGTTGCTGGAGAGGGGCTGGAAGTAGCTGGACGCCAGCCGCTGGACACGGGCCGGGCTGGGGGGGGAGGAGGGGGCAGGAAGCCGGGCCAGAGCCTCTGAGGTGGCGGCAGGCAGCCTTCGGGGGCTGGCCTGAGTTATCGCACCATCAGAAACGCGGCTTTTGAAACCCCGGCTGGTTTTTACACCTTCTGGCGTTTCTTTGTTTATTTCCTTTTTGTTCTCCTTTAACATTTAGTACAAGTCAAAAATATTTTTCCTGTGGTTACTACCCGTAGCGAAGGTATTGTTTTAAATGCCACCCTGTCTCTCTGCGCTCTGTGGTAAGAGCTAGGTTTTAAAGGGGCAGAGGCCCTCTCCTGAGCGCCTCCCCTCCCTAGGGCTGGCTGGTAGCAGAAGCGAGAGGGTCCTGGGCAGCCTCCCCAGCCATCGCCCCCTCCTGGAGGTGGCCATCCCCCAGCTCCTGCCCCCGGCCCTGGTCCCCTGGTGCCCTGGTCCAATGTCCCGGTTCTGCTCTGTAAGGCAGATCACATCCACACAGACCACCCTCACCTCTTGTTTGTAAACTGCACATCCCAGCGCTTTTGAGAAAACCAACAATCCCCTGTTTCCTGGCCAGAAGGTGGCCTCCAGGGAAAAGGCGAGGCCCCCGAGTCAGACGTGAAATCCCAGGCTCGCTGAGGAGCCGGAGCCCTGGGTCTGGAGATGGGACCTTCCAGCTTCCCTGCGCCTGGACGCCCACAAGGAGAGGACACGGCCACTCCGCCGGGCTGCTGGGAAGGTGTAAGCGCAGCGGAGCTGGCTGACCCGCCGAAGACTCTTAATAAAAAGTTTGTTCCTTCTTCGGCCCAGCGTGACCTCTTCCCGGGACAGGGCAGGGCGGGCAGCCCGGGACTCCTCCAGAGGACTGGCCCGTTTGGGGACCTGGCTGTGGGCTCCAGCCAGATGACAGTCAAGAGCTCTGGGACACAAACTTCCTGGCCCGGAGGGGACGGGAAGCAAAGCAGCCTTAAACAAAAGCCACAGCGCAGCCCGGATCACCGACTGGCATGGAGGAGGGTGCCAGGCAGGGAGTGTGAGGGGCCATGCCACTGAGGGTGCCAGGGGCTCCCTGCTGCCTCCACTCAGGAGCTGGGGTCTCTTTGGGGTGGGGGAAGGGCCAGGCCCACCAGGGTGGGCACAAACCAGGAGCAGCAGGGGGCAGCCCCTCACCAGGGGCTGAGGCTCAGTCACAGAAGGGGGTGGGGAAGGGAGAGCCTGGCAGGATGGTGCAGGGCCTGAGATGTGTCCAGGAAGCCAGGAGGGAGGAGAGGAATTCCAGGCTCTGACCCCAGCCTCCTGCCCGTGGGAAATGCAAGACCTCCATCACTCACCCTCATCACTCACCCTCCGTCCCGCAGGCTCGCCCAGCGCTCACAGACCCCGGGCCTCGGGTCAGCCTCTGGCTCCTTGGCCCATGTCTGCAGTAATAACTGGTTGCTGGCCCAGACCCCCAGGCCAAGCGGAGGAGGAGGGAGTAAGGGATGGAGGCAGGGCGAGAGGGAGGAATCCAGGGAGGGAGGGCGGGCGGAGGAAGAGGGCTGAGCTGGCTTCCCACGTCCCCTCCTCCCTGCTCCTTCCCCTCCAGCCGAGATAATGGGAGCTCTGGATTTCCTTTGCTTAACTCTTTGACGGGTCTTGCTGGACACAGGCCCAAAAAGTCAGCACCAGGAGGGATCTGAGGCCCCTGAGGTAGGGGGAGAAGGGGTCAGGAACCCCTTCAGTTGCTTGGGAAGGGCAGACAGCTCTGGAATCCTGTGCTGGTTAAGCTGAAAAGGGGAGAGGGCACAGGCACCAGAGCAGCAGCTCAGTTCCAATTCTGGTACCACCACCGCCTAGTGACACTCTGCGTCTGCAGAACTCTAGTGCCAGCCGCATCCCTGCCAGGCAGGGAGAGGTTTGCTGAGTGAAGGCATTACCTGCTGGGGTATCAGGGTGGCAGCTGGACAAAACCCCCACCCCAATGAATGCCAAAGTCCTCCTCCTCTGCCTACAGTTTTGCCACGATTGATGCATCCTCCTGGTCTTGGCCAGTGCCCCGTGGAAATGCCCCCAGGAGCTCACAGGGTCCTGCCTCGGCTTCCTCCTGGTCAGGCTGCGGCGGGTTTAAAAGGGCTGCAGCCCCATCCCCTGCAGCCTGAGAGCCCAGTGCAGAGCCGGTCCATACCCCTTGCTCCCAGCACCCTCACATTCTACATTAAAAAAAAAAAAATGTCTTTATTGATTTCAGAAAGGGAGAGGGAGATAGAAACATCAATGATGAAAGAGAATCATCCGTCGGCTGCCTCCTGCACGCCCCACACAGGGGATGGGGCCCACAACCTGGGCATGTGCCTTGACCGGGAATCAAACCGTCACCTCTTGGTTCACAAGTTGACGCTCAACTGCTGAGCCACACCAGCCAGGCTCCTTCTAATTGTTGAGTGCCTACGGCCTGGTCCAGGCCCCTTCTCCGCAGGGGCTTCCCGCACCCAGTGGGTCTTCAGAACCAGTGTTTGAAGGAGCCCTCCCGGCCGTGGGAAAGGAGCTGGTGTGACTCCCATGCCACGCCGCTGGTGAAAAGGAGCCACAATTCTGCAGAGCGGAAGTGCTCTCCATCCCACGGGGGTTCCCACGAGGGCACCTGGGCACGGCTCAGGGTTTTCCGGGAGAAGGGGGACATGACCACCCTCTGGAGGTGCAGGAGTGCAGAGATCTCGTAGGGCTTACTAAAGTCTGGGCTGTGGGGCCCAAACCCACCCACCGCCCCTCGCAGGTGAGCCGGGAGTGGAGACGGAACGCCGCTGGGCTGTGTGGCCTTGGCCAGCTCCCACCGGAGGCTGGGAGATGACCAAACAGCTGGCTGTCCCTGGAAGGACGCTTAGAGATGACCTCATCCAACTCCTCCATCTGTCCCGTGGGGACACTGCGATCCAGGGAGGGCAAGATGTGGCTCAAGGTCACACAGCAGACAGCAGTCCAAGCTGGGACGACGGCCAGACTCCCTCCAAGGTCTGGCTCCGCGGCTTCTCCCTCCAAAGCCCACCTGGGGCCCCCCACGTCTATTTGGGGGTCCCAGGGCCCCAAAGGAAAGCAGAAAGGACTATGGCTGCTGGGAAAACGGTCAGGTCCACTCTGGACGTGTCCTCCATGTGGCCCTGCCCCCAGTAGCACTCCCAGGCGCAGAGCCAGGGCTGCAGAGGGAGGGAGCCAGGGAGTCACTCCCACCCTCCCCTTGCTGCTGCCGCCGCCAGGAAAAGCGCTGAGTCAGCAGCACTGGGAGGGGAGACAGCTGGGTTTTGGTTTAAAAAGCCTAGCATCGGAGAAAGGGGGGAGGGAAGGAAACATGGACGGGGAGCAGGGCACACAAAGCCGGGTGTGTCTCAGCTCCTCCGTCTGCCTTCTCCGAGACCTTGGGCCTGTCTTCCTACCTCCGAGCCTCTGGGTATGAGGGACGAGGGAGCCCCGGCCATCTGAGCAGCCTGGTGGGACACCGCTGGGGGTACTCTACACTGGCCGCCCCTCGGCGCTTCTCCTTGGCCAAACTCTGAATGTGCCGAGGGGCCGAGCCCATTCTCCTTGGGCACAGTTGAGAAAAATGAAGCGCAGACGCTCAGAATCCGCCTCCCAGCCAAGCCTTGGGAGAAGGTATGCAAACAGTGACATTTCAGCAGTGCTTACAAAGCCGTGGGAACCGGGTGCCTGTCAGAAAAGTGAGAAAGATCCAGACGATTCCTGGAGTCAGCCATGGGAATGGTGACTGGCCAGTCCCCCATCCAACCGCCCAAGGGCAGTAACCAATTAAGAGACCAAACAAAGGAAACCGAGAGCGCCACCAACTGGAAACCCGAGAGAACGGGTAGCGCCTTTAGGCCAGTGATGCTCCCATCCACCCCGCCCATCACCTTAGGGAGCTGAGGGGAGGGGAAAGGAGGAGGAAGAGCCCGCTGAGACCTGCAGGGCTGATGGGGGCGCCCATTCCCTCCTTGGGCTTCCCCCAAACCCCACTCCCGCAAGGTGGGCGGGCTCCCTCGCGCCCTAGTCCCCCGGAGCCCCTCCTTTGACTAACTGGGTGGACTTCACTCTCTGGACTCAGTTTCTCCATCCTGGGCCTTCTGCAACCCACGGCTGATTCAAAAGGCGTTAACCCGAATTGGGGGAACTGTCCCACTGTACAGAAGAGGAAACTGAGGCCCCAAGAGGCCCCAAGAGGCCCCAGGAGGAAAGAGCCAGCGCCGCCCAGGCCCTCGGACCCTGTTCACTGTCAGAGGGGGAGCTGAGGCTCAGGGGAACCGGTGCAGGAGCGGGCTCCCTCCCCACGCAGACGGCCGGCTCTGCGGGCAGAATTAAGGGGAGTGACTCCCCCACCCCAGACCCTCCCATCGCCGCCCACTCCGTCTTCAAGTCCTGGGAGAAGCCACCGCTGGTCGCAGCCTCGCTCCGCATCTTCCAGGGCTCAGCCAAAGCCGCCCCGGCTGCAGGGACACCGCCGAGATGCGGCTCCGCTCCGGCCGCCGGGCCTGCATCCGGGTACCCCGCCGCGCAGGGGCGGGGCCTGTGCTGTGTCCTGCGCCGAGAGGAGCCGAACAGACCCGAACAGGGCAGAGCTGGCCGAGCCGAGCCGAGTGTTGCCGAGAATAGCCGAATATCGCCGAGTCTGACCGAGCGGATCCGATTGGGCACGAATGAAACCGAGTCTGGCCTAGCCGAGCGGCGTCGGGCTCCCAGAGGCGAGAAGGAGGTGCCTGGCGCCCCCTGCAGGCCGCAGAGCACAGCGCCGGCCTCCGCGGGGCCTGCAAACAGTTCTGTGAGATGGGGGTTCGGAGCCCACTTTACGGATGAGGAAGCTGAGGCTCCAAGAGGGACCCGGGCTAGCCTAAAGGCACGCAGAGCTAAGAAGCAGTGGCGCTGGCGTTCGAACCTGATTGTGTGGCCAAGAGCTCACTAGCCACTGTAATGGGCATTGTGTTCACTCTGTTCCTCTTGTATTATAATTGCTGCCGTTTATTATGGCCGGAGAGGAGAGACCCGCCCTGTGTGAAGAGCAGACAGAAGACCAGAGCTCAGAGACAGCTCTCCTCGTACAGATGGAGAAACCAAACAGGCTCTGGGCGTGTTGACCGAATGCAACAGGACGGGCAGTTCCCAAGGGCAAATATTGACATATTTCCTGGTCATTAGAGCAGATAGCACGAAGAGGCCATGTGCCACTGCAGGCCTCATTTCCCCTTTAACAAGATGGCCACGGAGGACATAGGATCCAGCCTGCCTGCCTACAGGCTGTGTCCCCAGGGCCTGAGTCAAGACCCGAGGTGTCCGGGACCCTGGAGAAGGCCAGGTGTGGCCCGGGCACTTTCTTTGAGCCCGTGAAAAAGTGAAGGCTGGTCTGGCCCTCAACATGCTCTCTCTCTCTCTCTCTCTCTCTCTCTCTCTCTCTCTCTCACACACACACACACACATACACACACACACACACACACACACACACGAGTGTGTGTGTGCCAGTCCTTCGCCCCTGGGTGCACACTGCCTGGCCTCCAAGGCTGCAGGGGTTGCTAGGGAGTGGCTGGACCTGTAGGAGGCGACTGAGGTCCCGTGGGGCCTGGGCTGGTGGTCAGGCCTGCGAGCATTGTCGGCCACTGCGCGATGGCCACCAAGGAGCTGGCACCAGTGTCTTCAGAGCTCTCTCCACTCCCAACACCACTCCTGATACCCGGCCCTCGTTACTGTAGTTTTAAAAAAAACTGCAGACACTGGACTGGGGGCTAGGAAAACAGGGTTCTTGCTCCTACCTCTGGTGCCGCTGCTGGGCAAGTCACATGGCCTAAACAGGCCTCACTGTCTTCAGCTATAAAGTGGACATCAGAACTGTGCTCAGCACCTTGGCTGTCTCCCGCGCCTCCTTCCCTGTGCACAGACTCCAGTTCCCTCGTCACACTCAGCTGGTCATAGCCCCCTCAACCCCTCAGGAGACGTCCACCCCCACTTCTCATGGTTATTGAACACCTAGCAGCTACTGGGCACGGTTCTAAGCTGTTTGTAAATATTAACTCATTTAAAGCTCCTAACAAGAGAGACAGGTGCTCTTATCCTCCTCTCAGGGAAGAGGCAACCGAGGCCCAGAAAGCTTAATGAGCTTGCTCCAGGTCAAACAGGTAGTGAATGGATGAGCTGGGATTCAAAGCCAGGCGACCCCAGAGTGAGGAGGGTGGGAAGGATTCACAGCTGTCTCTTCGGCAGCCGATCAAGGATTCTCTCTCATCATTGATGTTTTTATCTCTTCCTGTCCCTCCCTTCCTCTCAGAATCAATAAAAATATATTATTAAAAAAAAACACTGTCTCTTTCTCTCTTATCCTAGTTCCCGAAAGACAGGCCTTGTATTTCTCCGCTTTCAGCTTATTGCATTTGGCAGCTGCCCGATAAACATTTGTTGAATGAAAGAATGCACAATTTAGTCCATCCGTCCTCCCGAGAGCCAGGAGGGGAGGGGGCGCGGGTTGTGTCTGCTTTGCAGGTGGGGAATTATATTAGTTGGCTAGGGCTGCCATAACAAAGCAACAGACATTTCTTTTCTCTCGGTTCTGAAGGCTGAAAGTCCAAGGTCAAGGTGTCGGGCAGGATCGCTTCTTTCCGAGGGCTGTTCCAGGCCTCTCTCACCTTTGGCGGTCCTTGGCTTGCGGAAGCATTGCCCCGGCATTTTCCCTGTTGCAGGCCTGTGTCCAAACCTTAGGAACACCGGTCATACTGGAGTAGGGGCCCCCCTGGAGGTTAGGACTTCAATACATAAACTGGGGGGACAGGAGCACCATTGAACCCACAACGGGAATTAGCCTTCTAGAAGATCCTGTCTGACACCATCTCCGTCCCTGAACCGGGCGTCGCCTCTGCCTTCCATTCCTGGTCCTCAGCGTCCAGCCCTTAGCAAAGGCGGGTCCCTCTGCCTGGAACACTCGTGCCCCATCCTCTACCCCCCGTGCAGCCTCCACCCCTGACCCTCCCACAGTGATGCTCCCCCAGAACAAGCTCCACTCGCCTCCCCACTGCATAGCGACTCGGTGACTGGGGTGGCTGCCGGTGGGTGCCCAGGACACAGGCGCAGAATCTGTTTCCCCCCACTGTACCCCAGCCCGGTGTCAGCGAAATCTTTGTGAACTCAGGGAGCTATGCCCAGAGGGGTGAGGGGAAAGGCCGAGTCACACAGTAGATTCGTGGCAGAGTGGGCCTAGGGCCCAGCCCCCCTGACTTGGGGTCCCCTGACTCTGAGGGAGTGCAATTCCCTCACAGCCTTCCCCTGGCCTCAGTAGGGCTTGCCGGTGACAGGGGAGCCCCCTGAGATCTTGGCGGGACCGTGACCTTGCACAATGCCAGGGGGAGCCCCTCACCACACACCAGTGGTTCTTGCTCTTTCAGAGTACACTCTCCTGTGTCTGGAGTCCTGCAGAGCCCAGGCTGTCACCTTTCCAAGTGACAGTGGCCTCTGTCCCTCCGGCCCCTTGTAGGAGAAGAGGGCCTGAGGCCCCGGGGCCTTCCCTACCACAGGGCCTAGGACCCCCAGCTCCTCTCCTGTCATGCCAAGGCTGACGCACGAAGTCTTGCTCCAGAGCATGGTGGCCATGGCCTGTTGCCTGGCAATGACCTCTGAGAGACAAGTTCAAGGGAAGGTCTGGGTTTGAGCAAATTGGATGCCTGCAGCCAGGCAGGGCGAGTCATCGCCACCCTTGCTGAGGGCTCAGCCTCACGACCCCAGAGCCCCCCCTCACCCAGTCGTCCTCATGGTTCCCATAACCCACACATTCCAGCTCTTCCCTCCCCCCGCCCCAAACCCCATACCAGCTCTTCCCTCCCCCCGCCCACATGGCCCCCTTTATTCAGGGTCCCCATGTTGTACAAAACCAAAGAAAGCTAGCGTCACCCTGTGAAACTTTCCCCTTGGGGCTGTGAAATGGAATGCTCCTTATTCGTTCATCTACTCTAAATCCTCATGGGAGGGGCCCACAGTGCTGCCCGCCCTGGAGACACAGATGCACCAGGAATGGTTCCTGCCTGGAGAGGCAAGGCTGGCAGGACACCCTGACACAGACATCCACATATGCGTGTGGAGGCAGTGACACACATGTAGTGGGTGGAGAAGCTCCAGGGCTGTGGGATCCAGCGTGTTGGGTAAAAGTGGGGGGTGGGGGGTTAGTGGGGAAGAGCCCTGGCCTAAGCACCACTCCCACAAGCGCTGAACCCTCATGGATGTCCTGAGCACCTACTATGCACCTGAACATCCCCAACCACCCCCACCTAGCCTGCTATTGACACTCCTGGCTAGCCTCCCTTTGCCATTGTAGTCTGCCCCCCCCCCCCCTCAACTCCTACTCCATGGGTCAGCAAGACTGTTCATCACAGAGTCCTACCTTCTCTCTGGCTAAAAAGATGGTCACATGACCCACAAACAGCCAATCATGGCACTCTATCACCTTGCCTTTTGTTATTGGCCCAAGGGGCCACCAGGTGCCCTAGTTGGGACCAATCAACTTCCTTCCAGGATATTTGAGATTTGGATACAGGAAGAAAGCAAACTATTGCTTTTGCATCAAGATCTGTAAGGTGATAGGCTGAGGCTTGTCAGGGGCATCGTCCACACCCCCTGGAGGTCCGGAACCCTGGGCAGCCTAGGCATACAGAGCTGAGAGGTGGATTCTGGGAGTGTCCTGGTAAAGATGGACACCCATACATACACACCCACACATGCACACCCAACTAGACACACAGCACCTGGCAAAGGAACCAACCCAGGTCATGGCTGTTGTCATGTGTCACCATCTTTATTGACGAGAGCTAGGGGCAGGGGCAGCAAAGAATTTCTCTAAGGGGCCTCCCAGCCACCCTTGCAAAGTAGGTTTCCCTGCCCCAGGAATCAGGAAGGTGGGGCAGCCTCTGCCCGTGAACCACCAGGTCCCCTAAGGGGGCGAAACACCCCTCTAGGCCCTGTCTCCCTGAGCCTCTAACCCACAAGTCCACTTTCATCATGTCCTCACCCCCAAGGGCCAGATACAGAGAGGTGAAGGAGGAGTCACCCCACCCCCACCCATTACAGCGTGTGTGTGGCAGTTTACCTGGTGTGACTTATTTCCCTCCCCAGACCCAAGGAGGCAGGCATGCTGGGATACCACCTCCATTTATAGTAGGGAAACTGAGGCCCGGAGAGGTTGAGGCTGGCCAGGATCTGGAGGTGAGTTAAAGATGTGGGTCTCCCCATTTGTGGCCCATGTGCTCTCCCTGAGGACCCCCTTTCCCCCGCGGGGTGGAGGGTTGGGGGTTTAGCCAGAGGCACCACACTGCCCGGGGCCAGTCTCACTGCAGCTCTGAGGGGTCATCTCTGGGAGGGAGTCCAGGCCTGTCCAGGCCAGCCTTAGCCAGTGGTCTCTCCCTGTCGTCCAGCTTTGTTGTGGTGGTTAATCCTCACCCAAGGATTTCCATTGATTTTTAGAATGGAAGGAGGGGTGAGATGGAGAGAGAGAGAGACAGCAACATGAGACACATTGATTGGTTGCCTCCCACATATGCCCTGACCATGGCCTGGATGGAGGTATGTGCCCTTCACTGGAATCGAACCCAGGACCCTTCCAACCACGAGCCGATGCTCTATCCACTGAGCCAAACCAGGGAGGGCCTGTGGTTCCACTTTTTGGTCTTGTCTTCCCTGGGCCTTTCTAACCTGCAGCCCCGGGGGATTCTGCTTCTCAGCACAGGCAAGGCCCAGCCCCTCCCCCTGGCACTGATCGGCCCTCGAGGGGGCAGCCCCGGGCCTTTCAGAGCATTTGTGCCTCCACCTGATGCATCATTTTCTTGGGGCTGTTGGGCCGGCACCTCAGTTTCATTGATGCAGCAACTGAATTCAGTGCAGAGGGGGCCAAGGACAGCTCCAAGGTCATGGAACAGATCTATCCTCCACCTTCCTCCTCCTCTTCCCCTCCTCTCCGCCCCCTCCTCCTCTTCCTCCTCCTCCTCTCAGCACTCACTGTCTTACCCTCTGCCTTTCCATGCCAGTCTGCCTGGAGGAACTGGGATGTTTCTCCCGTGAGCTCTCAAAAACCCAGAGACACCCCACACCTGCCCTCCTTCCAGCCTCTGAACACAAAGTGAGCTGCTTTGGGGGTTCATAGGCTCCTTCAGCAGGGGCTGAGCTGGGCTTTGGGTGGCCTAAGCTTATGCATTTTGGGGACCCTCTTTCAGAAAAGCAATACAAAATACAAGTACAACATCAAGTTCAGGGACTCGGAAGGGCCCAGGCAGCAAGGGCCCACCCTGCAGCTGGACTTAACGAGCTTCTCCTCAAGTCCAGGACCACAGGAGTCCGGCCGGACATCTGAGCAAGAGGGCCTGGAGGTTATTGGGTTGCCCAGCAGGCAAGGCCTGCAGCCCAGAGACAGATGCAGCATCAGGGGAGAGCTGGTGCAGGCCTGAGCAGCCTCACACCCCACCCCCCAACGGGGCAAGATTTCCTTCTATTGGCGGGGGAGAGGGCGCTGGTCCAGCTCCCCATGAGCCTGGGCCCCAGCCCCTCTCCTATGAGCCTGACTCTGAGCCCAGGAAATCCAGGCCTTGGTTTATCCTCTGAGGACCAAGACTCAGGCCAACCCACCAGGATGCTGTGTCTCTGAAGGGCATGGCCAGTCAGCACCTGTCCCCTTCACCCGGGCCCGCCTCAGGAGGGTCAGCCCAGCGGTAACGTCCCTCCAGTCTTCTCATACCAAGGAGCTTGTCTAGACTGAGGGCTCCCGTCCCTGAGTCACAGAGCAGCACACGAGGCCCAGAGAGGGCAAGTGGCCGATCCGCCGTCACACAGCGAGTCTCGGCAGCAACGGGGTCTGAGCAATGGGGTCATCGCGGGCCCTGGCACCTCGGGTGGCAGGCCCAGGCGCACCCACAGCCTCTGCTCTGCACTTGGGCCACTCCGGCCCTCCCCAAGCCCTACAGACAGCTGATGTGCAGGGTGCCCGGCTTCTCCCCTGCAGACGGCTCCTGGGGCAGGAACTGCCGCTCCCTGCCGGGCACACCGCTGGGAGGCAGCTCCTGCCTGCTGGTGCCAGGCTGTGCGATCTGGCTGACCCGGCCGTTCATCTGCTTGGCTTTCCCCTGCTTCCCTGCCCCCTTGCCCCCACCTCCCTCTCCCTCCTCGTTCTCCTCCTCGTCCTCCTCCTCCTCCTCCTCCTCCTCCTCTGTCTTCTCCGGAGGTCCGGCCGGGGGCTCCTGGCTTCGCACCCGGCGGGAGGGCCGGAGCAGGACCCGGCGGAAGCCCTGCTTGAAGCGGTAGGAGAGGAAGCCGTAGAGGATGGGGTTGGCACAGCTGTTGGCGTAGGGCAGTGCCACCACCAGGAAGTAGAGGCCGAAGAGGGCGGGCTCCTCGGGCAGCGGGCACACCACGTTGACGATGTTGAGCACATAGAAGGGCATCCAGCAGAGGACGAAGAGGGCCACCACGGCCACCACCATGCGGGTGACCCGGCGCTCCGAGCGCCGCCGCCGCTGGGACGAGGGCGCCCACACGCGCCGGCCCGCCGAGCGCATCTTGACCACGATGAGCAGGTAGCAGAGGCAGATGACCAGCAGCGGCCCGAAGAAGCCCAGCGCCGCCGTGTAGATGATGAAGCCGGCGCGCCAGGCGGCCGCGGGCTCGGGCCACTGCATGTGGCAGGTGCTCATGCCCCGCGGCACGCCCGAGAACACCACCACGGGCAGCACCACCACGGCCGAGGCCACCCACACGGCCGCGCTGACGGCCCGCGCCACGGGGGCCGTGCGCCAGCGTGCCGAGCGGGCCGGATGCACCACGGCCAGGTAGCGGTCCACGCTCATGACCGTGAGGCAGAAGATGCTGGTGAACTGGTTGATGCCGTCCACGGCCATGACCAGGCGGCACATGAGGGAGCCGAAGGGCCAGTAGGACAGGGCGTTCTGGGCGGCCAGGAAGGGCAGCCCCAGCATGAACAGCTCGTCGGCCAGCGCCAGGTTGAGGATGTAGACGTTGGTGACGGACGGGCTGGCCGCGTGCCGCAGGACCACGTAGATGACCAGCGAGTTGCCCAGCAGGCCCACCACGCACACCACCAGGTAGACCAGCGGGATGAGGACGCCCCGGACGGCCAGTCCGGCCGCGCCCGGGGCCGCGGATGTGTTTCCCAGGGTGGCATCCGGGAGCCAGGCCGAGGCGTTTTCGGGTTCTGAGGTGGTGGGCAGCGGCGAAGGGTAGCCGAGGGTGTCCATGGCGGAGGGAAGGGCGGTCAGCGGTCAGCTATCGGCCTGCCTGGAGGGAGGACACAGCCATGTTAGGCGGAAGAGTCTCCTTGATAAGGGCACTAATCCCCTTCGTGAGGGCCCCACCCAGCTGCCCTCCTCCCCCACACTGAACTTGTGCTCGGCCAGAGTGATGTGCACCAGTTCATCATGGCACAGGCCCGCAAGGTATCCCCACTTCTCAGATGAGGAGACTGAGTCTTAGAGAGGTAGAGTGACCACCCTGGACCACCATAGCAAAGGTGTAGTGAGGGGCGCCAGCTTGCCTGGCTCTAAAGTGCAGGGACCAGCGCTGGTCTGTGTCCCCTCGCCTGTGCACAGGGTGAGTGCTACACAGTGTCTAATAAGGAATCAATGGACCGTTCAATCAGCCGATGACAACATGGGCCCTTTCCTTTATACCCGTGCTTTCCAAATATTTTTGATGCCAGTACATTTTGCATAGCAATCCATTGAAGTCGTATTGTTTCATAAAGCAATACCTGCCCTTTCTACATAAGATGGTCCCAGCCAGCTGCTACAGACAATGCGTCTCCCACCAAATTCACATGTTGAAATTCTAACACCCCCCCCCCCATTGATGGTATTAGGAGGTGGTGCCTTTGGGAGCTGATTATGTCATGAGGGTGGGGTCCTCATGAAGGGGATTAGTGCCCTAATCAAGGAGACTCCAAAGAGCTCCCCTTACCCTTCCACCAAGGGAAAAGATGATCATCTATGAACCAGAAAGCAGGCCCTGGCCAGGCACCAAATCTGCCAGCAGCTTGATCTTGGACTCTAGAACTGTGAGAAGTAAATTTTGGTTATTTATATGTCCGTCCCCCAATCTATGGTAATCGGTTGCAGGAGCCCAAATGGACCGAGACACCCACCAACAGGTTTCAGCCCTCACATTTGAAAACACTGCTGCACATCACAGGTCCTTAATCTTGAACTTGGGTCTCCAGGTGAATTTCAAAGCATCCATGAACCCTGAAAACACTGAACGCCCAGAGCTTTCATCAGATTAAGAACCCCTCCCCTGGGAGTCAGAACCTTTGGGGGCCTTTTCTGCCTGCCCCAGCCCACATGCAAAGACCCTGCCCAGGATGGATGGCTGTAAACCTGGGGACGGGGGCTATCTGGGGCTCCTTCTCCCCGAGAGGGAGACTTGTAGGGAAATTCAAAACACACTAGAACAGTGGTTGACACTGGTGGTCAGTGAGGTTCGAGAGGTTGGTGACCGCTGCACTAGAGGTAAGCACAAAAATAACCGCCTCCCTAGTCCCAGCAAGCCAGGTCTCCCTGAGACTGGACATTTCAGGAAGGGTTTTGAAGCATCAGTAAGAGCTCGCCCCCCAGCACAGTGGGAACCAGCATTCCCACATACTGTGTCAGCGCCCTTCTTGTCACACCTCCCATGCGTGATGAGGAGCCGGGACCCCTCCTGGCTCCCCTGCCGGACTCGACTCTCCTTCAGTGTGGAGTCCCTCTCACCCAGCTGCGAACCTTTCCCGCCTCCCAGCTGTGCCTTTCACACCAGCACGAGCTCTGCAGCAGTGTCTGAGGCACCACCAAATGAATCAGAGGAACCAGAGGGGACAAAGCTGAACGCGGAGGGAGGGTGCATTGCTGAAGCCCAGGACCCCCAGAGAAGGCCCCCCGTCCCCAGATTTGCTAGCCTCCCTCACAAGACTCTCAGGAGGTCCAGGTAGAGGCCAGGCTGAAAGCTGTAGCCTCCTCGGGGCTGGGACCTCCCCCTGCTTCCTAATGACCCTCCTACTATCCAGTATCTTCTGCTACTCCAATGCTGGGCCTGGAATGTCCTGGTGTGAACCTGGGGTTTGCATTGCCCCATCAGGGCCCCGCTTTCCAGATGCAAAGCTCCGGGAAAGGGAAGGTGCCCCAAATCCGAGCAAGTGTCACTGGGTGGGCGAGCATGCCTGGGTGCCCTGCCTGATGGTCTGGGGCTTCCCGGGGTTCTGAGTGCCAGGCAGGGCAATGCTGAGAATGGCAAAGCACCCCCTGACGCTGGCTCCCCCTGCAGGGACCCCAGGCTGGCTGGGCTCAGAGCACCCCGTCCCTGCTCTTCCAAGCCCGGGAGAGACTCCCAGGCTACCCTCATCGCCCCAAGCCCTCAGCAGCTCCCCTGGGCCTGGGGCAGCACACTGACGGAGGGGGCTTTGGCAGTGGCTCATGGGGTCCTAACAGTGTTGCCAGCTCCTTGTCACTGAGCCCGGCTGCCCGGTGCCCGGCTAACGGGGTGACACGCTGCCCCCTGCGGGTCCCATGAGGAAGGCATTCGTGTCTGCCATCCCCATGCATACAGGGAACAACGTGAGTCCACACGCTCTGGCCACATAGCTGTGCAGGGGCAGAGCTTGGAGGGCCCACTTCGCAGGCTGGCAGACTGAGGCCAGGCCTGGGGAAGGCACTTGCCTGGTGCCACAGTGGGTCAGGCCACCCAGCTGGCTTCCACCTCTCCCACAGGCCTGGCCAGAGCTCTCAAGGCTCCTCAGGGACCTGGAGCGAATAGGACCGTAGCCCCAAATCCCTAGAGTCTTGGAGGCCTAGAATAGAATTGTGGATTCTTAGAACGTAGTGGTAGCCATGGGCTTTCAGATCCGTGGCCTTGAGTCAGAGAATGTTACGGATCCAAATGCCCGAGCCAGCCCTCCTGAGACCCGGAACAGCAGAATCTGGGACCTGAGTCCTGGCTGCCTCGCGGGAGCCCTGCGTCACTCACCATCCCCCTGGCCTCCCTGTGCGCAGGCAGATCCTCCTTATAGCCTCCCGCCAGGCGGCCAGTCCGCTCAATGATGGAAGAGGAGGCGGGTGCCGGGCTCCCAGGAGAGGAGCAGTGAGCCGGGCAGGCCTGATTGCCAGGCTGCAGCGACACATGCCCCCAGGGAGGCCTGGGGGTGAGCTCTGAGGACAGCCTCCCTCTCGCCGGTCACACACGTGTGCACCCACCCACACAAGCATGTGTGCTAATGCACACGGTCCTGGCAGCATCCAGGGGACCCTCTAGGCCCTGCCTTTGACCCAGGGATGAACCAGCTCCTCCCAGAGCCCCGGTCCCCTCACAAGAGACCCCGCCTCCGCCTTAATCTGGACGCATCTCCCCTGGCCAAGTTCAAGGGGCCAGGGCACCAACAGCAGGGAACGAACAGCTTTCCGGGGGGGGGGGGGGGGGGTCCTCAGCCAGACCTGCGATTTAGGTGCCGCCTTTTCTGTAAGGAGCCAGAAGCCTGTGCCTGATCCAGTTCACCCCAGGAGGAGGCCCTGCCTCCCTGCCTGCCTGGTTTGTCTTTGCACAGCTGGCCTGCAAGCTGGGGGTGGACTCCTCAGAGGACTGTCCAGGGGGACGGAAGCCCAGGGAGGGACAGTGGCGGCCCTGAGCCCCACATAATTCAGGACGGCGCTTTGGGGATCCAAGATGCCCCATCGGCTCTGCATTTGTCTGTCCCCCACCCCCTCGCACCCAGCACAGCAGCCAGCACAGCAGGAAATAAGACCAGACTAAGACATTCAGTGAGCAGAACTCTGAGCAGGATGGGGCATTGCTCTGGGGCCGAGGCCTCAGACTCACATTACGATACCCTCCCAGGGCCCACGAGGGAGGGTGTTCAAAGAAGAGGAAGTTGAGGCTCAGAGAGGTTCGGCACCTTGCACAAGGCCGCTCAGCCGGTGAGCGGGAGGTCAGAATGCACACTCGGTTCTGTCTGCTCAGAGACCATAGCACCCTTGGCCTTGGCGGCGTCCCTGCGGCCTGGGGCTGAGAGGAAGCAGGGACTGGGACAGCCCGCACCACGCAGGCGCACGGCCCCTGGCCAGCTGTGCTGTTTGCCCTCTGCTGCCCGGGCCGTCCCCCGGGAGGCCCCAGGGCCCTGCCCACGGAAGCACTCCCACCCCAGGCCGGGCATCCAACCCCAGGAACCCGCCCCACATGCCCAAGCCCCCTGGGGCTTGGGCTCTGCCCCAGAGGGATGATGCCAAACTGCTCTGTGACCTTGGGCAAGTCACTTCCTGCCTCCGGGCCTCGGTTTCCTCCCGTGAAACCAAGACACGCGTACCCACCTCCCAGGGTGGCTGAGAGTACACGGGCGCGTGCAGAGCCCCGCACCCAGCACGGACAGGGAGCTCTGGGAAGCTGGCATGTGAGCGGAGGAGGCCACGCAGTGTGATGCATCTGGCTCCTTCCCGCTCCGGCACTGCCGTGCAGGGCTGCCCAGATCCTGGAGCTGGGGTGCAGAATTCCAGGATGAATGGCCCCCGTCCCTACAGCCCCCACCCCTCCCCCGAAGCCACAGGAAAGCCTCTTTCCCCCGGGCCTCCCCACCCTCTCTAGCCACCAGCCCCAACCTCCCAAATGTCTCCTGGGCAGAGGGGGAGCCCCAGGACCCCACCCCCCAGGCCCCAGCCCAGTCCCAGCCTCCTTACCTGTCCGTGGGGGGAGGGGTCCCCTCCTTGATGCCACGCTGGTTATCATCCTGCTGTCCTTTCTGTCTGCACAGTCCCCAGCTGCCCCCGGAGCACCCCTTAGCCGGGGTGCCCACACGGTGCCCCCTTCTGCACGGCTTGCAGCCCAGAGCCCCTCCTAGGCCCGCAGTGGCCACGTCTGCCCATGGCGCCTCTGCCATCTGGTCTCCAGCCCTGACGTCCCCCCGGCGTGTGGCGCGTGCCCCCTCATCCCCAGGACATGTCCTGGAGGGCAGGGGCACAGATGGGGTCTGCAGTTGGAGCCTGGGGCAGGGATGGAGGAAGAAGCCTCCCAAGGAAAGAGGAGAAATGGGGAGCAGAGGACTCTGAGGAGCCAACAGAGATAGAGGGAAGGGGGGTCGGCCGGAGGTGGAGAGAGAGAGAGAGAGGGAGAGAGAGAGAGGACAGTGAGTGGGTGGAAAGCCAGAATGAGGGGGAGTGATGAGAAATGCGTGACAGGGAGAATAAAAGGAGGAGGAAAGAGAGCGGGAGAAGGGAAGAGAGGAAGG